ATAAAATATACGCAACATATTTCAAGTTTAATAGACAGAAGCATTTTAAAAGAAAAAAGGAAACCATGCACACGGTACCTGTTTAGCTCGACTAACGAGAGCTGTGAGAGCGGATCTCAGCAGGTTTCATTTTGTCCGCTGATAATAGCGCTGTTTTCTTTAGTTCATGTTAAACTTGTTGGCATCCATCTGTCTCGGGAGACAATGGAGATTGCGCCATGGGTATCAGTCTGTGGTTGAACTACAGCGCTGGCTGTGACTGTAGAGCCCGTTCCTGGAGCGACAGATCTTGTTGCAGGTGCTGCAAGTGAAGTCGGTTACTGGTACTGCAGGTGCCGATTCTGCTTTCACACGTCTGCGTGCCCTTTTCTCCTCCCACTGCTCTTCTCTCCCCTGCTCTGACATCTTAACAGCTGACTTGATGACAAGTTTCCAGGCGCTGCGGTCTGCTGCCACTGCTTCAATGCCTGATTATGCGATGCCACCCGCTTTGAGGTCCTGCTTGCACGTATCTTTGTAGCAGAGTTTGGGCCTTCCTGTGGGTCTAGAGCCAGCGGCAAGCTCGCCAAACAAAATATCTTTGGGTATTCTGCCGTCTTGCATGCGGGTCACATGGCCGAGCCAACGCAAGCGTCGCTTTGTGAGCAGAGCAAACATACTGGGGGTTCCTGCCCACGCTAAGACCTCTTTGTTGGGAATGTGGTCCTGCCAGGAGATGCCTAGGATTCTTCTGAAGCAGTGGAGGTGAAATGTATTGAGTCTGCGCTCTTGGCGGGAGTACAGAGTCCAGCACTCGCTACCATACAGCAGAGTGGTCAGCACACAGGCTTGGTATACAGTAATCTTTGTCTTGATGGTTAGCATGGAGTTGTCCCACGCTCTCTTTGACAGGCGGGCCATTGCTGATGAGGCCTTGCCAATTCTGGAGTTCAGCTCAGTGTCCAGGTTGAGACTGCTGGAAATGGTGGAGCCAAGGTAGGTGAAATCCTCCACCACGTCAAGAGTGCAGTCACCAACGGAGATGCAGGGTGCCGAGCTGACATCTTGACCTAGGACTTTGGTCTTTTTGGTGCTGATCGCGAGACTCTTTGCAAGCGTCGGAGAAACAGTTGATGAGCTCTTGAAGGCCAGCCTCGGTGTGCGCTGTCAAGGCGGCATCGTCGGCAAGCAACATCTCACAAATGAGAACTTTCCGCACTTTTGTCTTTGCACGGAGGCGCGTGAGATTAAACACGCTGCCGTTGCTTCTGGTATGAATGTAGACTCTCTCCTCAGATTGACTGAAGGCATAGCGCAGCAGCAAGGAGAACAGGATGCCGAAGAGTTTTGGGGCGAGAACACAGCCCTGTTTGGCTCCGCTCTTGATGAGGAAGGGTTCAGCGGAAGAGCCATCGTACTGAACAGTGCCTTGCGTGTCCTCGTGAAATGAAGTGATGATCCTCAGAAGCTTAGGGGGACATCCAATTCTCTGCAGGAGTGTGAACAGGCCTGACCTGCTGACCAGGTCGAACGCTTTGGTCAGGTCTATGAAAGCAATGTACAAGGGGCGTCTCTGCTCGCGGCATTTTTCTTGCAGCTGCCTTAGCGAGAAGATCATGTCAATAGTAGATCTCTCAGCCCTGAATCCGCACTGCGCCTCTGGGTAGACGCGTTCTGCAAGCAACCACAGTCTGTTTAGTACGACGTGAGCAAAGGTCTTCCCGACAATATAATAATTGTTGCAGTCGCTGCGGTCGCCTTTGTTTTTGTACAGCGTGATAATATTGGCGTCTCGCATGTCCTGAGGCACGGTTCCTTCCTCCCAACACTGGAGCAGGAGTTTGTGGAGGTGATCGAGGAGGCTGGACTGTTTGCCTGCTTTAATGACCTCGGGATGGATGCCATTGTTTTCCGGAGCTTTGCCACTGGCAAGAGAGTCGATGGCCTTGCTGAGCTCCTCAGTGGTGGGTGGGATGTCAAGCTCTTCCATGATGGGCAGGGGGCTCGTATTTTCCACCGCTGTGTCTGTAACAATGGACTCCTTCGAGTACAGCTCTTGGTAGTGTTCTACCCATCTCTCCATCTGCTTTCCACGGTCGGTGATAATGATATCGCCGGAGGTCGATTTTAACGGGGCGATCTTGATGGCGCTAGGGCCGAAGGCCTTCTTCATACCCTCATACATAGCTCTAATGTTGCCGCAGTCAGCAGACAGCTGGATGCTTTGACACAGGTTCTGCCAGTAGTTGTTAGCGCACTGTCTAGCGATCCGCTGGGCATCACCTCTGGCCCTTCTAATGGCAGCAAGTGTCCTCTCACAGGGGTCATGTTTGTAGTCAAGTAGGGCAGTTCTTTTGGATGCAATGACTGGCTCGAGTTCCGCAATTCCGGCTTCAAACCAGTCAGGGTTTTTCTTTTCCCTCTTGCCAAACAAGTCGACAGCTGACTTGTAAGTGGTGTCACGGATATGGTTCCATCTCTCTTCAACACTGCTTGTTGGGCAGTTGCTAAGGGCCTCTTGGATGGCGTTTGCAAAACGTTCTCGCAGTTCAGGGACTGATGTCTTGGCCGTGTTGATTCGGGGTTGTCCTTTTTGCTTTGATCGATGGATCCGCTTGGGCTGAAGACGCACCTTGCTGGCGACCATGGAGTGATCTGTGTCGCAGTCAGCGCTGTGGTAACTGCGTGTAGAGAGGACGCAGTTCAGCAACGTTCTTCTGGTGATGACGAGATCCAGCTGGTGCCAGTGATGCGATCTGGGGTGTCGCCAGGACACTCTGTGATTGGGCTTTGTGGGATAGAACGTGTTTGTGATGCAGAGGTCGTGAAGGGAGCATAGCTCAAGGAGTCTTTGCCCGTTCTCATTGAGTTTGCCGACACCAAAGTGGCCGATGCATCGGGGGCCAGGAGATGTGATCGGAACCAATCCGTGAATTAAAGTCACCGAGCAGGAACAAGTGTTCACTGACAGGGAACTTCTTGATGGCGGTCTCAAGCTCATCGTAAAACTCGTCCTTCGCTTCTGCTGAAGAGTATAGTGTAGGGGCATAGACACTCATGATGTTAACGGGACCTGAGGTGGCTGTGAGGCGAAGAGAAAGGATGCGATCTGTGCCTTGTAAAGGCGGTACAATTGAAGGCAGTAGAGAGTTTCTAACTGCACAACCTACGCCGTGCACACGGTGCTCCTCTGGGGTTTTTCCTTGCCAAAAGAATGTATAGTCCTTTTCTTTAAGGCTGCCGCCGTTTGATGGAAGTCTGGTTTCTTGCAGTGCTGCGATGTCAATAGCAAGTCTCTTGAGCTCGCGACTGATGACTGCCGTCTTCCTCGCGTCGTCGATCTGTTGTAGGTCATCAGAGAGGCCAGGACACATGGTCCTGACGTTCCAGGTTGTCAGTCTCAGCGCTGGCGGCTTTCTTGTCTGTCTTCCTTTTTTGCCTGGTGCACGGTTTACAATCTGCTCTTCGGTTTTTGTCCTGAGCTCCAAGCACCCAATGAAGCAGGTAGACCGTGACGGGTCAGCACCTTATTGGCCGGGGGCTGCCCAGTTTGAGGCAGGCAGTAGCTGACCAGTGGGACGCAAGGATCCCTCCCACCGTCGGAGACAACCCGTAGCGCCCGAGCTCACGCCAATATGCTCTAGGCTTATAACTCGTAACTGCTGTCTCCCGTGTTGTTTCTGTTGCTAAAGCAGCGGCACTGGAGTGACCTCTCCAGGGCGCAAGCCTGGGCGAAGTATATGGAGGTCCTGGGTTGCCCAGTCGTCAAGACCCCCCTCTCGGCCTCACCAGTGTAATCCAAAGGAATGCGAAGCAATACGTTTGGCACCAGGTTGGCTGCAGGAGCTGCCGGAGTCAGTTAGCACTGCACACTGGTCCGCCTTCGGGGCTCCACTCCTGATTTGAAGGGTCCCTTACACTTGGCCGTTGAAAACGTCTAGGGTCTCCTCCGCCCTCTTGCCGTTGTCCGCCTGAAGCAGATCCTCCACCTAGACATGGTGCAGTGTAAGCACCACCCCCTCAGTGGTTTTCTGTCAGGGTTTTCCTTCCCTTAGATGGACTGCCCTCCCAGGCTAACGAGTTCCATCTACCCGGTCATGTTAAACTATGAACTGAAGAAAACATAGATGAACACAGATGACCGTTTGGATGGTCAGTTCCTCCTGTGTGCTGGTTCAGTTCTCCTATTTCCTTCTCCACTAAACTGGACATCTCTGTGGTGTTTTTCATGCTGGAGCTGCTGTTTTTTCATTGGTGAATCTTTTAAATTTAACTGCGCGTCATTTGTATTGGTTTCTGAGCTGATACACTCATAATTTATTTTTAGCGAAGTAAAAGTATTTCAGTAAAATTTACTCAAGTGAGAGTAAAAGTACTATGATTTAATTCTCTCCAAAAAGTACCATTACAGGGAAAACTGTACTCAATTACAGTAATGAGAGTAAATGTAATTTGTTACTTACACCTCTGGATATCCCTGAAAAAGATGGCATCTAAAAGGCAGCATATGTTCCTTTAAAATGTGTTCAGTGTTAATGGAGCTTTCACAGATGTGCAGGTTACCCACTGATACCCCCCCCCCAACACCATGACAGATGCTGACAGGATGTGTTTTTGTATTTCTGTATTGACAACAGTTTGTCATAGCATTCTGAGCCCATGCGATGATCTCCATCACAGAAACATGCCAGATTTTAATGCAGTGTCATCTGAGGCGACAGCTTTGGTTTTTTGGGAAATTTCTCCAGATCTGAATCCTTTAATGATATTATGCACTGTAGAGAGTGAAATATATAAAATCCTTGCACTGTCTTGCTGGGAAACACCATCACACCATCCTCACTCATAAAGGACTCAGCCTTTCCTAGATGCTCTGTTTATGCTCAAGCATGATTAGATCATGATTAGAAAACTTTAGTTTAAGTTGCTCCAGTCTAAACTTTCTTGTAATGTGTTGCAAACTGGTTTTGTAGTTCCTTGTTGTGTCACAGTTGTAATTTTTGGACAATTCTTTTCAACAGAGATGAGAACTACAGGAATTGTGGTGAGACACTAAATGATCTTGGAATCTCTGAAGATGAAACAGTGCATTTCGTCTTGTCCACTTTTCATGATTTATCATCATCTTTGAATGAGGTCTTCTACTGTGACATTAAACCTTCAGCTCCACAATCACAGAAGGGCCTAAGCATCTTCTTCTCAACACTGCAAGCCATTGTAAGTCCTGTTACTGATGATATTTAATGTTATTATATTATAATTTTAATTTTTTATTCAGCTCAGTTCATCAACCAGTAATATCTTAGATCAAACATAAGATCTACATACATATCAGTCAGTAATTTATCAGTGATGCTTAGCTGAAATTAAAACTGGACACACTAAGCTGAACACTAAAATTAAAAAAATCAATTTTACTTATTGAAATCAATGTCTTCAATACCAGTGCATTACTGACTGAAAAATACATTTTAATGCATTCTGTGTTTCAGAAATCCTTTTTTCTTTGGTACAATTTTGACTCCAAACAGTTGCACTTCTGTCTAGAAAGTAGTTTGAAGCCAAACTGTTCTCACCTATAAAATAAACAGTGTCTAATGGGAGGAGCTCTGTTTATACTACATCACAAATACTGATTAAATAGGTTTTTTTTTCTTTTTACTTAAAAAATCCAACAAATCAGTTTTAATTTTCACTATTTATTACCTCATCATTGTGTCAGTATGTGCTGTTTGCAACTATTAAAGCTATTGGTTCTGTGATGTCTAGTAAAGAACAAACATTTTTTATTCCCTTAATTTAATATTCGTTTCAGCCAACCCCTCAAATTCTCAGGGTTATTACAGTCCAAAGCAAACTAGCAAACAAGTTATTCTTCAGTTATAGAAATGAGGAAGTCTGGCCCACCAGCAGTTTCTGCCCATTTATGGGGTAGCAAACAACAAAGTTTTATTTTTTTTCTGCAAATTTACTGTCACAGAGGTAGCAGATGGGTTGATAGTCACTGGATATTAAAACAAATGTCTCCTGTGGGTTTATCTGTGCTTGTTTGTTTGTTTGTTTGTTTATTACACATCTTTCAAATAGCACTTTCTTGTTAGGTTTTAAATGTTCCAGACTCCCTCATGGTGGTCAAATTTCTGGCTTGAGAGACAAAGTTTAAGCAAACTTGTGTTTTTGTCTCCTAGAAAATAAGGCATATTGGAGATGAGTTCAAGAAAGTGATCGCACACATTCGGAAATTGAGTGGATGCAATGCTCTGGCTCAAAGTCTGTACCAGCTCATCTGTAGAGCTACAGCTATTACAAGAATCCAGAAGGTATATTACTGTCAAAAACTGTTGAAAGACAAACATCTCTAACAAAACAATAATTGATGGAAGACAAAACATCAGTGATTCATGTCTTTCCAATCTTTCTAGGTTTCTGTTGTTGAAGGGCTGTACTTCCTCTTCAGGGAATTGCTGCCAAGCCCTACTAAACGATACGGGGACAAGATCATTGAGGATGGAGATGTTTTTGAGCATTCACCTGTTTGCTGGGCCTACCTTCTATCTCAGGAGAAGGTAAACATTTGTATAGTCTGTTTAGACAGTTATGCTTTACTTTCTTGTTTTAAAGGTAAGACAGTGTAATTATTGACTTTTTAATTTATTCTGCTGGTGTTTCTTTCATGAGGCTGCATATATTAATCTAGAGTTTCGATTACTTAAATAAAGCTGGTTGCAATCAAGAGCACATTAAAATGTATTAAACTTTATATTTGCTATACCCAACGCTGATCATCCACCTTTCTCACCTTGGTGAAAATGCTTCATTTTCCATTCTTTGATAGTCAGCTTGCACTGTGCATTTCTGGTGGTGCTGCCACCTGCTGGCCTGCATGATGCCTACAAATTTAATAAAATAAACCAGTGGTCACCAAACCTGCCTTGCTTTGCCTAGATCTCCAGGAGGAAGGTTGGCGACCAATGATCTGGACTGTTGCTTGACAAAAAGACGACTGTATCATGTTGTAGCACAGTACTGCATCACACTCTGAATGATTGAGAACAAAAATAAAATCCATTTGCTGACGGCAAATGATCTGATGCATCACTCTAGGCCAGGGGTCAGCAACGTGGCTCCGGAGCTAAATGCGGCTCTTTTACTGTCCTGTTGTGGCCATTTTAAGGTTAAACAAACTGATAAACAAGAAGCTGATTTCAGCCTCATGAACAGTAAAATGGTGAGAAACATTTTAAAGAAACTGTTCTACTTTAGTGGAAAAGTTTCCTGCTGGAGATGCGAGAAAAACTATAGCTGAGCTAAAGATTAAAGCAGAGCAAAGTGAGTCTGCAAAGTTAGTCTGCGTTTTTGTTTGTGTATATATATATATATATATATATATATATATATATATATATATATATATATATATATATATAAAATATTTTTTTGTGGCCCATGATAGTTCATATTGCAGATAAAATCAAAAGGAATATTCCTTGATAATATCTCTAAATGTGCACCAAAATATTTGTTGGACTTGGTTAAAGTTCTTTATTATGAATTGTTAGGTTGTTAGGTTGAAAAGAATCAAGAGACGGAGCAAACCTGTGCAATGTTTGTCTCTTTAGCTCGAGAGCTCAGAGCATGAAAATTATGCTCCAGTATCTCTGAAGGGTCAGTCGACAGGCCAGCGCTTCTCTGAGCCTGTACGAGTACCAGGAGTGCCTGAGGTTTTTGACAGGGAGTATGTTCTGGAGAAGATAAAGGGTGAGATTAAACTCTGTTTAAATCCTGAACTTTACTGTTTACAGTTATGAAAACTCCATCACTGTGTTAAACAATCAATTCCTTCAGAGGGTGAGAAAATCCCCAACTGCACTGAGGAGAACCTCAGAGAGGAATCAATTCAAAGAGCCACTGATGTTGAGAAGATTTTGCTGAGTCTGCCACCATCAATTGATACTTTCCCACTTTGGATTTCATATGATGCTGCCCGGTCGAGTGCCAGGTATTAATAATTTTAACAGTCAGGTAACACTTTAGTAAAAGATGACATTACACTGCCTATGTAATGCTCTTATTACTATATTTTACAAATAAGCTAATAAGGGCATTATAAGACCATCATATATCCCCACTGTACTGAAGTGTTACCATCATTTTTCAAAACAAAATAATACATTAGCAGCAAATTTTATTTTATCATTAAAAATGTGTAGTAGTTCCATGAATATTTGGCTGTTGACAAAAGACAGAAGTAATTACTTTATCTGTCTACCACAGCATATTGGAGTTGAAATGAAAGAATGGCTATGAGCTCAAAGTGCAACCATTTTCATACATTTCTCCCCATTTCGTAATTAGACAAACAGCTGTTTTTCGGCCAGGTGTGTTATTTTACCTACATGTAAATATAGGAGTTAATTTACGGTGTGGCTTTTGCATTTGGAATATGTTTTGGTTAACTCTCAGTATAAAGTCAAATAGCTTGTTACATTCTTAAAAAGAAAGGATGAACTGGTCAGCTTAGAAACACCTTAAGGCTCAGAAGACCCTGAAAACAATGTTGGATGATGGAAGCATTCCTTCCTTTCATAACGGCTGAACAGATCAAGAACATCTTCCAGGAGAAAGGTGTATCTGTGTCAAAGTCACGAATCAAGAGACGACTTCACAAGGAACATGCCCCAGGAGAACGTCGCTGTGCCCCACTAAAATCACAGAAAAGTCAAAAAGAAAGCTATGATGCAGTTGTGCACCTACGACTAATTGGCAAGCAAAGTGATAAGGCTATACCCCGCTTAATTCTGTGTGTGCCCCAGTCTAACAAGTATGTTACGACCCCTTTGTACTGTCCACACAGGATTTAGTCTAGTCCAGGGGAAATGGGGTAGCTACATAAAAGCAAATAGACCAGCACACCGATTTAATGCTCAAGTGAACAGGTTGTATTATGCATAAAGGCAAACAGTCACAAAGGTGTTGCCTTCAGGGTGGGCTGACAGCAAAATAACCAAAATAACAAACAAAAACCTCTAACCCTAATATATATATATATATATATATATATATATATATATATATATATATATATATTTCAAAATAAATGGCACCCACCCCTACATAGTCGTGACTTCTAAGTTATATTGCTGAGGAACAGTCAATACAGTACGTGTATTGATGTAATAGATAAAATCTAAACACCATTTAATCTCAATCACTAGTACAAACATTAGAAATCAGGTGAACAACAACATTAAGAGAGCAGCAAAAAACACAACTTCCCTAGAGACCGCTATGGACCACATGGTGAAAACACAGCAGGCCAACTGTATTGCATGGCTGTTGTTTTTTAAAGGGAGAATCTTCATTGAGCCACCAATCACAGCACCCACGGTAGTCAGCTGACATCAGTCCCTCCAGATCAGGTGATCCAAACAGCTCCACCTAGGAAACAGAGAAAGAAAGAAAAACACAAAAGACCAGCAGGGGGCAGCAGCAGAGGCATCTTGGATGTAACCAGTAGTCTTGAAACACCCCTGATTTGGGTATAAAAACCCTTAAGTTAAAGCTGAAAGTCTGCCCTGTGAGCTCATAGTTATTATTTACTTTCTACTTAAATATCGCTGCCGGATCAAAACCTTGTATTTCCAAAATAGTAACTTTATAGGAGAAAGAAAAAAACTTTTTTTTACTTCTAATGTAAGTCAGTGAAACCAGACATCTTTTCATTTCATTTTGGGCCATTTATCATGAAATTTACAGACAATGTAAAAGGCAATAGACATTTTCAAATTATGTCAAAAACTGAAAAATGACAAAAATGGAGATACAAGGTTTTATTCAGACAGCAGTGATATGCTGGGGTAAACAGCAAAAATAACAATAGCTTTAGTCACATCCAAATATTTAGACCTGAGTGTGATGCCATAAAATAGGATTACTGCGCATTACAGTATCAGTTACAGAGTTCTTTAGTGGTGTTCTTTGGTTATCGTTCTGTAATTTCAGAATAAGTCCAGAGAAAACATACGTTCAGCTGAGTAAGGAACTTGCAGAGTACCCCCACATAAACATAACTCCGCCACTACAGCTGAAGTCTCTGGGAGTTGATGGACCACGCTTGGTGCATCTCAGTGAAGGTAAGCTGTCATTTTATACAGTTTTCTTTTGATTTTTGTTAAATTAAACAAAATGTGAGAGAAATGTAACTATTAATTTAAGCAAATTTATCTGACAAAACAAAAAATTTTATCAAGTAACTTTTTTTTAACACATCCATGTCTCTTAAAAGGCATTATGGAAATTGTCACAAAGACAGTGTTCCCATTCAAGAACTGTTACACAGTCATCAAATACTGCTTACTTTACTGGGGTATAAATATGGGGCCAAATTCCCCTCATTTATCAACTTGGGGAAGACTAGAGGATACACATATGGACTGATACGAAAGTGTGCTGACCTATCAGGCAGTCAGCCAATGGCTATTTGCAGAAGACAGGATGACAGAACTACAATTAGCTTTCACCTTCATGGTTTCAGGGATTTCCTGGTTTGTTTCTGCCCCTGTCTAGTTTGTTTCCTTGCTCCATGTGCCTTTGTTTTGGTTTTAGCTCCTCCCCTGTCCTGCCATGTCAACACTCTCCACCTGTTCCTAGTTCTTGGCCCTGCCCTTATTAAGTGTTCTCAGGGGTTCATTGTCATCAGTGTTTGGATGTATACCCCTGGTTGTGTGCTTTGAGTTTTCTGGGTGTTTTGTGTTCTCAGGCCCTGTTTTCCTTATTCCTTGTTAGTGTTCAAAATTTTTATGTCCATGTTTTCCTTCTGTTGTAGTATTTAGTTATTGAATGTTCTTTCTTTGTTTTGGTACTTTGAGGATTCTTTCATCACGGTTTCACACAATTTCCATGTACACTGATCAATAAATCCAGCTGTCATAACACGTCACTTCACTTGAAAGTATAATGACACAATATAATGTGAGAAAAATCTGTTAAATTACAGACGTGATGTGAAGTTGACAAAAGCTGCCTTTCTGACAAAGGATGCCCACCAAAGTCAACCTTGATTGATAATCTTATGTATGTATCGTGTAGCCTTATGTATATTTAAACATTGAAAAGACTGAAGCTGCTGCACTTTCAAATACAACCCAAATAAAAAAAAACACAATCCAAGATCAATTAAAAACAAGGCCAGAGAATGCAGCGTCATAACCAGTGTGAAACCCCCCCTGGTATTCAGGGGTCCCGTGTTGTCTGTCTGCTCACTCTCTCTCCATAGTGGCGCTGATGCTTCAGTGTCAGTAAATGTTTGTTTTATCAGTTGTTCTTCTGTAGAGTCTCTGTTCTAGTGCGGTTCTGCGCTCTTCCTCACAGTAACTGAGATCTTCCTCGTCTCCTCTTCTGTAGAGTCTCTGTTCTAGTGCGGTTCTGCGCTCTTCCTCACAGTAACTGAGATCTTCCTCGTCTCCTCTTCTGTAGAGTCTCTGTTCTAGTGCGGTTCTGCGCTCTTCCTCACAGTAACTGAGATCTTCCTCGTCTCCTTTTCTGTAGAGTCTCTGTTCTAGTGCGGTTCTGCGCTCTTCCTCACATTAACTGAGATCTTCCTCGTCTCCTCTTCTGTAAAGTCTCTGTTCTAGTGCGGTTCTGCGCTCTTCCTCACAGTAACTGAGATCTTCCTCGTCTCCTTTTCTGTAGAGTCTCTGTTCTAGTGCGGTTCTGCGCTCTTCCTCACAGTAACTGAGATCTTCCTCGTCTCCTCTTCTGTAGAGTCTCTGTTCTAGTGCGGTTCTGCGCTCTTCCTCACAGTAACTGAGATCTTCCTCGTCTCCTCTTCTGTAGAGTCTCTGTTCTAGTGCGGTTCTGCGCTCTTCATCACAGTAACTGAGATCTTCCTCGTCTCCTCTTCTGTAGAGTCTCTGTTCTAGTGCGGTTCTGCGCTCTTCCTCACAGTAACTGAGATCTTCCTCGTCTCCTCTTCTGTAGAGTCTCTGTTCTAGTGCGGTTCTGCGCTCTTCCTCACAGTAACTGAGATCTTCCTCGTCTCCTCTTCTGTAGAGTCTCTGTTCTAGTGCGGTTCTGCGCTCTTCCTCACAGTAACTGAGATCTTCCTCGTCTCCTCTTCTGTAGAGTCTCTGTTCTAGTGCGGTTCTGCGCTCTTCCTCACAGTAACTGAGATCCTCCTCGTCTCCTCTTCTGTAGAGTCTCTGTTCTAGTGCGGTTCTGCGCTCTTCCTCACAGTAACTGAGATCTTCCTCGTCTCCTCTTCTGTCTTCAGTGTGAGAAATGAGGAACAGTCACTCTTCACTCCAAACTCTTGGGAAACTGGGCGAGTTTTCAGATTTACAGATCTGCTGCAGCTCATTGTAAAGTGTTTCAGAGGAATCCGGGCAGAGTTACAGTTTCTAGGCTAGGAAGGACCAACTGGGTGAACCAGTCTGCTACGGCGCCACCCTGAGGCAGAGCAGTGCTACAGCTCTCATTAGTTAAGAGCACCAGAGACAGAAGCTGATAAACAATGAGCTTTCCCTGAATTTGTATTTGAGCATCTATTTTTCCCCCAACAGACGGCACAACATCATAATAAGTTTATTTACAGAGACTCCCCAGAATTTTTATTTTGAGACATATAGGGGGTCCAAGAGGTTAAGTAGGGGTCCAGCACCATCTAGAACCCCCTAGAACACCCTGTATTTGATACCTTGGTCGTAACCAAAAACTGAACCAGATACAAGACCAGTCAAAACTGCAGAGTCACTACCCAGACAACAAATGTACACTGCGCCTGATTAGGGCCAAACGTAGCGCTGCATCCAGTCCGGATCCGCAAAGCAGAGCTGGCCCGGTGTCTTTTTGCACAACGGCCCAGTACCGGAACTGATCTGTTTTACGGATCTGCGCCAAAACAGATTCAAAACTGGCCCAGATGAGCAAAGAACAGCGTTACATCTGGCCCTGACTTGGTGCAGGTCTGAATATTATCTTCATATCTGGCCCAAATGTGGCACAGACCCAGTTCAGAAGAGTTCCAAGCTCAAGTTGATATAAGCAGCTGTCTCTGGAACGGATCCGGCCCTGACTTGTTGCATCTGCACCGGATCCGTTCCAGAGTCAACAACAGCTCCATATCCCACATAATTATTCACAAATCATTAATAATGAATGTTTTCAAAAAACTGTGAATTCAAAAAGGGAAATATAAAACCAAACACCTCAAAAAAAGGTTTATTGAATGTCATTATGTTTTCAACACAGCATTTTTTTTGAAAAATGAATTTAAACAAGAAAAAATACAATGCCATTACTGAGGTGTAGACTTATCAGCAAAAAATCCTGCCATTAAAGAAGCGATAATTAGCTGCTTTGCTTTCAATTGTAATAAACTGACATAAAAAAGAGACTTTAACACTGATAGACTGATAAACTCTGCTCATGTCATCACAATAATGAAAGGTAACTGGCAATCTGAATACTAAATACTACCATGCTGAGTTTTACAATGTCAAATTGTCACAAAGTGTGACCATTGAGAAGTGACAACTGTATCAGTGAAGCACAGTTCAACTAAAATGAATTGGAGTATAAAACAATACAATATAAAATACTACAATATAAAATAATACCAGCCAATATTGTTAAGTGTTAACATAATTTCCAGCCTCTTAACAATCATTACTGGTATCAGTCACAGTTTTCATATTGGTTGGGCTCTAATCCATGTTCTGGAATTCAAATCACTTAAAATTCTTACAGTTCATCACTGCTGCGGTCGACAGCTGAACGGTGAACTGAACGGTAACAATCTTTACAACCTTTTTTTCAGCTCTCATTGAGGAAGCCCATTATTTACAGATACCATCCAGTACCTGCTTCAGCCAACCCTACATTAAACTGAACCAAGTGTGCTGCTGATGAAATTGAACAAATCCATGCAATGAATGGTGCTGCAGCAAGAAAGCAGGAAAAAAAAAAAAAAGTTGTTTTCGTCTATCCAACATAGTAATAACTTTATTTAAAACAGAGCTGTCACTATTGATTATTTTATAGTAATTGAATAATCTAGCGATTTCTCCTAGACTTAATCTAGATTTTTTGATGTACACAGAAATTGTAATAGCGATTACAATTACAACACTGAAAATACATGATAAGAATGAGTCTGCTGCCAGAGGAGTACTGGCACTACTGTCCCATTAAGAGTCTGACCAAGTCATTGGTTGGCCCAAATCAGCCAATATTTGCAGCCCACAGTTTTATTGGGGTCATGACCTTTCAAAGGGTGGGTGAAATCTTAGAAGAAGAATGTTCACCCTATAGCAGACATGGAGCAAGTAAAGATATAAAGAAGTGGTGAAAGAGGTTGGTTACAGAGGAAAACAACAGAGGCCAGTCTAGATAAAATGGCTAAAAAAAGGGCGTGAAAGAGGCTGGCCCTGGCAGAGAGATGTAGAAGGCTGACCCTTGTGGATAGGTGTAGGAGGCTGGCCCTGGTGGGGAGAGGTGTAGGAGGCTGGCCCTGGTGGGGAGAGGTGTAGGAAGCTGGCCCTGGCGGGGAGAGGTGTAGGAGGCTGGCCCTGGTGGGGAGAGGTGTAGGAAGCTGGCCCTGGCGGAGAGAGGTGTAGGAGGCTGGCTGGCCCTGGCGGAGAGGTGTAGGAGGCTGGCTGGTCCTGGCGGAGAGGTGTAGGAGGCTGGTCCTGGCGGAGAGGTGTAGGAGGCTGGCTGGCCCTGGCGGGAAGAGGGTAGGAGGCTGGCTGGCCCTGGCGGGAAGAGGTGTAGGAGGCTGGCTGGCCCTGGCGGGGAGAGGTGTAGGAGGCTGGTCCTGGAGGAGAGGTGTAGGAGGCTGGGGTGTAGGAGGCTGGCTGGCCCTGGCGGAGAGGTGTAGGAGACTGGCCCTGGCGAAGAGGTGTAGGAGGCTGGCCCTGGCGGGGCGAGGTGTAGGAGACTGGCCCTGGCGGAGAGGTGTAGGAGACTGGCCCTGGCGGAGAGGTGTAGGAGACTGGCCCTGGCGGGGAGAGGTGTAGGAAACTGGCCCTGGCGGGGAGAGGTGTAGGAGGCTGGCCCTGGCAGGGAGGTGTAGAAGGCTGGCCCTGGTGGGGAGAGGTGTAACAGACTGGCCCTGGTGGAGAGGTGTAGGAGACTG